TCTCTCGGCGACGACAAAAGCCATTCCCCCTCCCCCACCCAGTCACAAGCCTGTCCCCATCAAGCCAGCTCCTGTCCCAAAGTCGAATTCGACCACCACTCCGGCAACAGCTGTAACCACCTCTAGCACCACCTGCAGCAGCCCTGAGCCCCGTATTCCACATTTGACTACTACCAGCAAAAAGCACTCAGCTGCAATTCTCAGGAAAGTGCCGGCGCTGCCAAAGATCGCTCCCACAGGGAGCTTCACCAGCCTGAATGCAACCCAGCTGGCCGCGGCTGCCCAGGCTACTCAGCCCACCAACATCAGCGGCGGCCAGGTCCAGGGTGTGCCGTCACCATCACGGGTGGTGTGTGTGTGTGTGGGGGGGGTGGGAATGGCAAAGTGACAGCGCAGAACGTTTCAGGGAACAACCCGACCATCAGCGGGCTGAGTTCCACCCAGATCCAGCTGCAGATGGAGCAGGCCCTGGCTGGAGAGACCCAGCAGGTGGAGAAGCGGCGCCACATGGCTTGCGCGTGTCCCAACTGCAAGAATCCGAGAAGAGGTCCGGAGAGCAAGGCAAGAGGCACGTGTGCCACATCCCTGCCTTCCGCAAGACTTTGGGCTAGACGTCCCTGCTGCCGGCCAGCGGCCCTTCCTCTGCCACTGGTTCTTCGGCAGAAAGGGGTGCACCAGGAGGAATGAGCTCAGTGGCATGCCTGCACCCACACAGGGGACAAACACGTCTAATACACCCAGTGTCAGAAGCGCTTCATAAGAAATGACCACCGCACCAAGCATTACAAGACCCACCTGGTCAAGAAGAACTTGTAAGGCAACTGAGGCAGGAGGCCCTGAAAATGCAACCGCTCCCCAATCCATATCCTGCCAGGCTCCCACAGGAAAGGCGCCCCACAGCTGCAATAGGCCCCGCTCAGCCCCTCCCCGGTTCTGTGACTGTGTCCCAACAAAAAGGGTCTCTGCCCGGCTGACTCTCCTCTCCCAAAGTCTCTTGGCTCTGCCCTTCTCCCCACCAGCTCTGGCCCCAGACCGTGGACACTGGCCTGGCCCAAGGAGACATTCTAAACCAGGACGCGTAGGAGCTCTTACTTCAAAGGAAAAACATACATTTCACTCCTTCGCGGAGCAAACGAGCCCCCGACTCCCCGGCCCAACACTGCCAGAGTTGTACCGCCATACCCCTCTCTCCTGCGCCTTTCTGGCCTTACCAGCTGCTGTGGACGACCAGGGACACTGCATCCACGACTGCCGCTGGTACCCACCTCTTGAAAGGCTCCAGGGCCTCCTCCACTTCTCACACCTCGCCCTCCACAACTCTCCTGCAGTGCACTCCAGTTTTCTGTTGAAAAAATGAACAGCCACGGACTCCTCCAAAGCCCTTTTCCATGGAGAACGTTGCCTTACTCTTCTGCAGATGATGAGCGCTGTGTTCTGTGTGCGTTTTACCCTCTCACCACCTGCCCCCACCCCCTCATTCCTCACCTCCCCACACCTGCTTTCAGTCAGGGATTGGGGGCAATGATGAGCACATGAAGTTCTCACCCCAGCAGTTCTTTCCTACATGACACATTTCATCTGTGGATCTAGACACAGATCCTTTCCCACCCTGAGCCTCTTTCCTCTCCCCTCATCTCACAGGGACCAGCCCAAACTCCACCGTGTGCAGTATATATTGTATAATAGATCATTGTGTCTACTACATCTTTAAAAAACATATTGCCTGGTTATTTTTAAAGCTTTTTTTTCTTTTTTGGAGAGATTTTCACTATGGGGCATGTGCGCTTGCCAGACAGAGACATAGAGACAGAAAGCGAGAAATCACCCCCCAGGGGGGATGGTCACACCGCAATCCCTTCTCCTCCATTACATGTAAATTATGAGATGCAAAGAAGTATAAACTATCAAATTTCACAGCTAGAAATGTTCCCCCACTCTTCCCTCAGGTAGTAGTACACAGTTTAGGTGGGGACATGGGGGATTATTTGAGCTGATCTCCAAAACCCCTAGTAACCCTGGTATTAGGCCGAATGGAGTATACTCCATTACGTGTAAATTATGAGATGCAAAGTATAAACTATCAAATTTCACAGCTAGAAATGTTCCCCCACTCTTCCCTCAGGTAGTAGTACACAGTTTAGGTGGGGACATGGGGGATTATTTGAGCTGATCTCCAAAACCCCTAGTAACCCTGGTATTAGGCCGAATGGAGTATAGATGAAGGCAAGTTAACAACTTTCAATTCTGGAAGTCCATGCTTCTTAGATCAAAAAGATTTGGATAAGAAAGAGTAAAGGTGGTAATCAGTTCATCTACTCTCACAGGACTTCTTGAAGGGCCTGTGTCATGATCAAAGAAACTGAATGGGGAATTAGTGACACAAAATCACCTGTCAGTGATCAACTGACATTCTTCATTCATATCATCATTCTTCAAACAGGGATTTTGAGACTAACAGGACTAACAAAGTGCACATCTGTCACCTAACTGCTGTGTTTTCAAAAATACTCTGGACCCATTTAACATTTTATTTTTCTTATAATACAGTGTCCTAACATATGTATCTTATTGTCCTGAAGTTCTCTATTTACTGTTCCTTTATAAAAATGCAGTGCAGGGAAATTTCAGTAGAATTTTATTTTCTTGCGGAATGAGGATTCTTAGACTGAGTAGCCTAATTATCTGAATCAAATTGATTTACACTGAAAAAACTAGTTCTTGATTTGGTAAAATTCAATAGACAGTTATTGAACTAAGTACTTTCAGCTATAACAAGATGTGGTGAGCAGTGGCCATTAATTAAATGGGGGGAGGGGAAGCCATTACAAGTATTAAAGGACTTCCTTTCATTTTCTATAGTAAATAATAATGTGTTTTCTTTGATGAAAGTTTACTTTTCTTCCCCACTATGCTTCATCCTGTTACGCCATACTGGGCTCATGGTCTCAAAGGAGGGATGAAATTAGGTATATCACAGAAACAAGTTTGAATCTACTCTACTTTGTTCTCCAAAATATGAAGAATTTCAGAGAAATAAGATGAACCTAAAACCAAAGTAGCTTTCCCCTCCGAGCCAGTAGGTGGTGTGGTGGTTAAGGCACTGGACTCCCACATGGCCAACCATATTTTAAGCCCAGAGGCTTAAAACTCATGCCAGGTGCTGTGCATATGTACCCAAAATCCCAGGAGGAGAAGGGATTGCAGTGTGGCCAACCTTCCTGTGTGTGTGTGGGGGGGTTATTTCTCACTTTTTCTGTCTCTGCCTCTCCAGCAAGCACACATGTCTATAGCAAAATTTCTCTTAAATTAAATACATAAATAATACAAGTAGCATTTCCCTAATATTGCCATCTGATAGGAAGTATAATAGCAGCAGCATAGGTGGTGAAGGTGGGCAAACTGGAGGCACTCAGGGGTGGGGAAATGTGTGGAAAAAGGCCCTGTGACTGATGGCCTGCCTCACAAGAGCCACTGGTACCTAAATACCACTCACTTTTATTTAAGTGGGCACCACCCATCTCTAATATCAAGGGGTTACTCTAAGCTATTCCCACTGATATCTGGTGAGGACTTCCTTTCAACTATACCAGTCATTCTTGCAGCCAGTTCTCAGAAAGATTGTTGTCCCAAGAATTTTCCTGCTCCTTATCCTGTCCATTTCCATGTGAATCCCTCCAACTGTTGCAACATCCTTCTGTACAATCCTACAACCAAGAGGAGGATGGTGAAACCCTGACACATATAATTCCAGAAAAAGTGAAGAGTCCTGTTTCACTCCTCTCACTCACATATATTTTCTGTTTCGTTTTTTTTTTCTTTTTAAGAAGAGACTAACCAATGAATCAGCTCAAGGTCCACCTCAAAATAAGATGGTTATTAATAGATACTTATGGCCAACAAGCAAGGATTTAACTGTAATGCGATGAGAAAACAGACTGAATGTATCAAAATTCATCCTTTTTCTAGGACCTCTGAGCTCCAGAAATGGCCAAAATTCATTTGCCTCTCTCCACAACATTTTCCAAAGATATTACTGTTTATCCCCATTTTAAATGACAGTGATAATTACAATGATAGCCTTAGTTTGGAGTTGTTATTATTATCTTTTCTTATCTTCAACAAAGTTCCTGTGAAACAGTAATTTCAAGTGCAATGTTTACAATGCATGAGAGTTGAAGACTTCTGGGAAGTACATGGGCTTTCCTAACTCTTCTTCCTATATATAAGCTCATCTCGGGAATCCTACTTCAGCAAGTGAAAAAAAAAAAGCCTTTTTTTGTGAAAAGATTAGACTACCTTCACTTTTCAACCTCTGCTATAACCTAATCACAAGACCACACCAGTAAATAAATGAGAATAAATTATCAGCTGTGGTCTTTTTCATATAAACAAGAAAATTCTATTATTTTTCATTCAATGTTCTTACTTCTGGATAAATCACATCAAAAATAGTGATGGCTAGGGGGGCTGGCAGGTGGCATGGTGGTAAAAGTGCTGGACTCCCACATGGCCGACCGCAGTTCAAGTCCTGGACCTGGTGGCTTCCTTTCTCACTTTCCCTCTCTCTCTTTCTCTGTCTCTCTCTGATCAAACTGGAAAATAATAATAATAATAAATAAATTTAAATAAAATAATAGTTTAAAAAAATAGTGATGGCTCATCACTGTCAAGGCACTAAGTGACAAAAATGCTGTTCACTATGTTTCCCAGGCCGGACAGTCATCACTGACAGATTTTCTAACGGTACTCTTTACATTTACCTGGGCTTCACATTGTACTAACTGGAAATAAGATTGCTAAAAGTGGAAGTTAGCAAGATTATTTTAATCATGCTTTATGATTAAATATTATAAACATTTTCAAATGTACAATAATAGTACCTTTTCCATAACATATTCTTCTTAGTAACTGCCATTTCAAGCAGGCTTTAATTATTTCTTTTTATTTTAATAAAGCGAAACTACAGATCAATGGTTTGCCAGATGACTACACTCTGAACTTACGTTCTAACATACCCTATGTCTAGCATTAAAGGCTCTTACGAAGTATTATTTAAAAGAAAAAAAAAAACATAGGATTTGAATTGCTTTTCACACTTCTGTTGCACCCCTACTTGTCAGTGGTTTTCTTAAACACAGAAACATCAGTTTCCATAGCCTTTATGGTTTTTTGGAGGATCTCTAAGATTGGTTCCATAGTCTTAACGACTTGTTCCAACTGATCTGCTGCAGATGCTATGGGATTCTTGGCATTCTCAGTTTTCAGTGCATCCTGCAACTTTTTCAAGGTGTCTGTTACAGTGGGTTCAGAAGAACCTGGACTCATAGTTTTCTCAGATGTAGTGGCATCTGATCGCTCTTTGGTGTCTTCTCTGTAGAAGTCACTTAATCGAAGATTCATGATTGGGAATTTCATCAAGAGTGAAAGATAGGATTCCAAATTCCCAAGGATATTACCACTATTCAGCACAGAGGCAATGACTGGCATGTGGATATGTTTGAGCACTTCTTTAGCTGAATGCTGCAGTTCCTTTGCATTGGTAATCTTCTCGGCCATAAAGCACGTAGCTGCTGCAACTTTGGAATATAACGGCTCTTTTTGCATTGCGTTGTGCTTTGCTTCCATTTCAGATTGCATCTCCTTAAAAATTTTGAGCATTTGTTCAAAGAAATCCCTAATGTTACTATCATCTTTCATAGCCATCAAGAGGATCTGAGTATTCATATTGCGATTAAACAATTCAGTAAACATGTTTGTGGAGGAAGCAAGATCTCGCATGTGAAAGAAAAATCTTTTGGCCACTTGAACCAGCCTCTCTTTATCCTTTTCTGACTCTGATGACATTTTTCCAACAAAGAAGTTTCAGTCCTACAAAGCAAAGTAGTATTCAAAATGAAAAATAAAATGGATTTGGCAACCATAAAGAGACTTGAAATATAGTCTAAATGTGAGAATAACTCCATCGACTGCAGGATAACTACAAAAGCTTTAAAGTAGGAATAAAGTAAAATAAGATAAAATAATAAAAATATTTTAACACAAATTTAATAAAAATAACATAAAGAGAGTATATTTTGAGACCAGCAGATGGCATAATGGATATGTTGCTGGACTCCCATTTAGTAGACCACAGTTTGAGTCCCAGACCTGGTGGCTTAAACTAACACCAGGTGCATGTGCATGCCTGCCCAAGATCCTAAGAGAAGAATAGAGGAGAAGGGATTGCGGCGTGGCCATCCCCCCTGGGGATGATTTCTTGCTTTCTGCCTCTCTCTCTCTCCCTGTCTTTCTGGCGACCACACGCGCCTGATAGCAAAAACTTCTAAGAACAAAAAAAAAAAGAGTATATTTCTGAATTTATATACCACATATCACATACTGTGCATGCTGAAATATGAAATGATGGTCAAGGACACTACCATCAATAACCACTCAATGTCGTGGAAAAGATTATATAAAGCCTTAAAAATAACATACAGGAGCTCTTGTTCTGGTTAAAATAGAGTAAGCACGCAGCATTCAATCTTTCCTACTGAACACAATTAAAAATCCTGGACAAATAATCTACACAAAAACTTAGAACTGTAAGTCTAGCACATACAACATCAACACATAAATATCGATTGTACTTTTTCGTTGGTTGGTTGGTCGGTTGGTTGTTCTGGCAGAGTGCTAGCAAAGAGATAGAGAGAGAGAAGGAAGAGGGAGAAAGCACCCCCCCCCCCGGTGGAGCAGGATCACGGCAATAACTTTCTCTATTTCTCCATCCTGTTGGGATTTGGGGCATGCCCACACAAGTGCCTGGTGTGTTTTGTCAAGCTGCCAGGGGCTGGGATTCAAATAGCATCATCTGCCATGTGGGGTCCAGCTCCCTTACACACCAGGCCACATGGCTGGCTCAAAATATGAAATGTAATTCTAATCAGTAGAAATCAGCAATAGGAAACTGATAATTTTTTGCGAGTTTAATTTATAATGTATAATACCTTCTCCATGAAATAATTATGTATAAATATGAGAAAACATGTCTCAATTTATATTTTAAGTTCAAAATAATACAAAATTCTAAAGTAAAAAAATGAAACACAAACACAGACATAAATATAAAACCATAAAACCCTTAAAAGAAAATACAGGTATGACACACAACTGCTAAAAAAGGTGACAAAAATAGATTTAACCAAGATTAAAAAATTTTGTTCTGGGACCAGCAGTTAGCATACTGGCTATGTCATTAGACTTCCAGTGACAGGACCACGGTTCGAGTCCTGGACCTGGTGGCTTAAATTCACGCCGGGTGCATGTGTATGCGTACCCAAGATCCCGAGAGGAGACTGGAGGAGAAGGGATTGCAGCGTGACCATCCCCCCTGGGGGGGTGGTTTCTCGCTTTCTGTCTCTCTGTCTTTCTGGCGAGTGCACGCATCCTATAGCAAAAACCTCAAAAAAAAAAAAACAAAAAAACAACAACAACAAAAAAAAACTTTCCTTCTGCAAAGATGTCCTGAAGTGACTATGAAGACAACCCACAGCCTGAGGGAAAATATTAGCAAAACACGCCTATGACAAAAGATATGTATCTAGGAATCTTTGTGGTATTAGAACATGGAGGAGTCCAACCCAGTAGGGCCCCAGGATCTGTGTTGAGCTTTTTACCTTTACCTCTTAGGTCAGGCCAGCACATTGGCAAGGCCGCTGCTGTGTACCCCGCACCCCCGCCCCCCGACCTAGGAATAAGACTTAGGTCGAATTAGCATGTTGGCAAGGCTGCTTGCTATTTGCTCCAGAAAACTGTGGTAGCCTTGCTGGGAAGCAACCCCCCTCTGACTCCCTGATATACTATAAAAAATTACATAGCTCTCTTGAGTATGTGATGAGATTTTCCCATAAGTTCTTCGACCACTCCCCTCAGCCCTGATCACCTACTGTTAATTAAAATGCTTTATCTCTGTGGTCACAATAGAGGGTGGACTGAAGTTCTATCTAGGCAGAAATAATCTTGACCTTTGGAAGGCCCTTCAAGATACATTTAACATAAACTTAAAGATAATCTTTTCTTTACCTAAAATAGGATTAGGCCGAAACTGGCCCAGGACACCCCCACCCTCATGAAGTGAAATAGATAAATATATTAGGATTCCTTAAATCAAGTTTTAGATCCCTATAAAACTATATAAGTATCATTCTTTATTAAGATCCATAAGAACTAATATCTATACTTGAGATTTTCTTTTCTCAGCACCATTCCTGGTAATCACAAGATGGCTGCTGCGCTGCATCAGCTGATAATCATCTCTGCTTGCTGGAGTCACTTTCCTGAAACTGCATTCCATGAAGACCCACCTACATCAAACGAACAATTGCAGAACTGCACTAGACCCACCCTTAATCCAACCCTAAATAGAATCTATGTTCTCTATTGTTACACTTTATGAACTGATCATTGAAACATGTAGCCCCTCTCCCATAGCCCCTCTCCCGTTTACTTGCATGTATCACATTTTCAATAAAAACGCACGATGATTCCTAGCAGTTGTCACTCTTCAGAGAGCGATCTCTGAGGGGTGTCCAGTTAAGGACGTGCATGAAAAAGGCACCGAGGCCTTTGTCTTCTGTTCACCTGCACCGCCTCTGACGAGTCAACCCACCCCTGCTGAGGCTGGACCCTGGCAAGAATATTGTGGTAGAAACAAACTTACACAAGTAACAGAATTGTATTAACTTAATACATACACAAATGAGTACAAGTAAATCCAAAACAGACTGGTGGATTATAATAAATATTCTGAATGTGATATCATACCACATATTCGCAAGATGTGATCACTAGGGAAAGCTGAGAAAAGTAGACAAGGAATTGTTGTAACTACTCTTAAAAGGTATGTGAAAAGTTGGTTTGGGAAAATTAAGACATGATGGAGAAGATCATCCTCATGCTAGGCACATGTGCGTGCGTGCCCAAGATCCAGAGAGAATGGAGGAGAAGGGATTGTGGCATGGCCATGCCCCCGGGGGGTGATTTCTCACTTTCTGTCTCTCTCTGTCATTCTGGCAAGTGCACGCACCCTATAGCAAAAACCCCTCAAAACAAAATAAAACAAAACAAAAAAATCATGCTGGGTTCATGTGTATGCATACCCAAAATCCCAAATGGAGGAGGAAAGGAGAAGAGATCGTTACATCACCATTCCCTTGGGGGTTGCTTTCTTACTTTCTCATCTCCCCGCCCCTCGCCCCTACAAGACCACATGCCCTCCAACAAAGTTTTTTTAAAAGGATAAAAAATTTAAAAAGGAGGCTAAAGATTTAAAATTGGTTGGTTTTAGGTATTTTTTTAATGCAATATTCATAATTACTGGTGAGCTGTTGAAACTATTACAAGGGGACTTCACAACATTTGTGAAACAATGGAATTAAACCCCAAGTTTATTTTGGTGCAAAACAATTTGGATATCTATGCATAGTATTTTTGAGTAGAGCTTTTTATGAAAATGAATTAGCGAGTTTAGAATGAAAGGGAAAACAAAATACTCTGATTTTGGAGGAACCATTCATTTTTCACTCATTCACCACCACATTCAATCTAACAGTCAAACTTGCCAAACCAACCTTCTCCTGCCGTCACCCAGACTACAAGCCCTATTCTAAGAAAATTTATCTCTTGCTTAAGGTTCTGAAGTCCTACTAAATCAAGACCATTGATGTGATGCCAATATTGACTCAGTCAAGAAAGATTTAAGAAGTTTGAGTTCATTATCTAGGGGGCTTCGAATAAAGTCGGTATTGCTTCTAGTTTTTACAAACAATTTCACCAAGAACCAGATGGAGGGAGAGGGAGAAAGCACAATTTTATAAAAAAAAAAAAAAAAAAAGACTAGTACAATGTGTCAAGCTCCTTTGTGCTGCTACTATTCATACCTCAATTATGGCAACTCCATTAGGCTATGATGTGGTAAGAAAGAGGTGGTTATGTAAGGAGGAAACTTAACAAGAGAGGAAACAGAAGAGAATCCCTAGAACAAGTGGATTTAGAAGTACTCCTCAACTATATTCTCTTCAGAAACAAAATACAACTACTAGGTTCAAAGTCCAGTGGCTTGAAACACACATTGGACACGTGTGTGTGTGTGTGTGTGTGTGTGTGTGTGTGTGTACCCCCCAAATCCTGACAGGATGGAGAAATGGAGAATGGACTACAGCATGACCACGTCCCATTGGGGATGCTTTCTTTCTCTTCCTCTCTGTTCGTCTCTGATGAGTACATCCTCCTTCAGGCAAATTAAAAACAAAACAAAACAAAATAAAACAAAAAAGTAAGTTTATATTAATATAGGAAATGAAATAATTCTAAGAACTGAGCCATTCAGAAATAGCCTATAAACCAGACAGGCAGAGGGACCCAGCAGAGACTAGCAAAGGCTGAAAGTCATCACATTCCACCAGAAAAACCCAGATGACACCAGATGAAAAGGCACTTCAACAATACCCCTAACCAACTGCAGGGACTGCAGAACGCAGACACACAGCACGGTAAGCAATACAGACATTTCTATTAATACTGGCATAATACTGTTTCTCTATATTTTATAAAGGGAATTTGAAATCACTTATCAGTCTTGAATCCTAGACACAAATAAAAAGTAATAAAATGGCTTTATTATAAGAGGAGTTTATAGCATGTTCTTTGTGATTATTTCTCTAAAAATCCTAAAGAAGGAAGAAATTAACAGCTTCAAAGACTGATTAAGTCAAAGGAGGAAAAACAGTAGAGCATCAGTTTCAGAAAGGATTACAAGCGAAATGGCAACTGTGTGAATGTACTGCTTCTGTGACGGTAGCATTTCTTTGTATGGGTTGTAAACATTATTA